AATATGTAATTTTATAGACTACTGGTTATTAATAAAATCTTACGTTCATAATATGTAATTTTATATTAAAAATGTATATATATAATATATGATTCGAATTGAAAAGTAAGTGTTCGAAATAATGAATCAAAGCGAAAATATTACAAACGATTCAAGTGTTCAAGACAATGAAAGTAATGATAATGATCAAAGTGATCAAGAATTGATATCTAATAAAAAAAAATCTTTATCGAAATCCAAACCTAGCTTTAAAAACTCGTGGCTTAATGAGTTTAGGTGGCTTCAATATGATAAAACTTCTCAACGAATGTTTTGCAAATACTGTAAACGTTATAACAAATCAAATGTTTTTGGAACTACAGGTAAATAAACCTAAAAATACAGCTATTATATATTTATTGTTTAATAAATTTAAAAATATTATTATAGGATCTGTAAATTTTGGTCGAAAGAGTTCTGTTAAAGAGCATGCATTTTCCGATCAACATCAAGATGCAATAAGACTCGAATCTGCTGAAAAAATAATTGAAAAAGAGTCGGAACAACTTATAGAAAAAAATAAAGATCACATTATTGGTGTTTCAAAAATCGTATATACACTTGTAAGACAAGATATACTACTAGCAAAACTTCCATATTTTGTTCAATTATCTCGTGAATTAAAATCACCATTTATTGCTGATGGCTCGATTACATATGAAAATGAAATATCTGGTCGTGAATTTGCTTTTGCTATTTCCAATATAATTAAAACTGAAATATGGAAAGAACTTAGCGAAGCTGTTTTTTTTGGAGTTATGATTGACGAGAGTACAGATATTTCTATGAATAAACATGTTGATATTTATGTGATGTATCCAACTATTTTTGGAAAAATAAAGACCCGATTTTTACAACTGCTTGCACTTGATCAAAGTGACGCAGCTACAATAACTACTAAACTAATTAGGCTATTCCAAGATCATGGTAAATATTTATTACTATATACGTATATATATAATAAATTTATATATACTGTATTTTTTATTATGTATTAAATAATAAATATTAATTTTTTTATTTATACATAGATATTATTGACAAATTAATAGCTTTTGCATCAGATGGGGCATCTGTAATGATGGGAAACAAAAATGGAGTTGCCCAAAGACTATCCAAAATATGCCCTTATATTATCTATACGCATTGTAT